CTTATTGACTGGCCTGAATTCCCAGCAGTTAAACGACTGCAAGCGCAGAAGACAATTCACTACAGCCTTGGGCCAATGTTATACAACGAAGGCACGACAGAGGGGACATACAAGGTCATTCAGAATGTCTTTCTGGAGCAACTGGGGGATGATGATGATACAGACCTTGATGGGCTTTTACAACTGGTTTATGGAGATCAGAAAACAGTGTCACTCCTTCGTGCCGTCAAAAAAGAACGTGCGGAGGCTTCTCGTCTTTTCGATCGTTTCAGCTGGATATTGCCAATCCCCGGACTGTTCCACTGGCGTATGAACTACTTGGATATGATCTTTGAGCTCTATGCTGGGACAGACCACCCTACCGTTGAATCGACGATCCATCATAATAAGGTCTGTCTCGGTTGCGTACAGGGACACAAAAGTCCATTCCACCATAAAGAAGAGGTGGCTACTCGCTCATTTGACGCTCGCGTCACGGCCATGTTCTATCAGTTTGTCCCATTAACAGTCAATTTCGCGGATGCTAAAGATGTGGATGATTGGATTCAAAGCCTCGGAAGGGGTCAATTCCTGGACGTTGTGGATCAGATACGCCAGTCTCTGTTCCATTTTAAAGAGCAGCAGTCTAAGGTTCGTGAACGAGAAGGAGAACCAGTCGACTATGAGTTCTCAGCACATGCGAAATTCCTTCAGCAGATGGAGACTTACAAGTCCTTGAAGCTTGCCATCAAACTTGGTGACATTGGAATTATCCAGCGGATCTTTGCACAATGTTGTCTCCTCTTCCCTGGCACAAAGAAAACCCGATATTCTTTCCTCTCCTTGTATATGACATGGCTCACTCAAACCAAAGCAGCTGATCCCGAGCTGCAGACTGCCATTCTTGCCAACGGACTTGTGAATCTACGGGGTGCGGAGGACGGTTGGTTCGAAATTGATCGACTGAATGAGTTCTTCAATCTTCATATGAAGACACTCATGTCGACTCGACGGACCTCAAATCTGGACATCACTACCATGTTCCGTCGAACTGCTCTCACAGCCAGCTACTGTACTGATCTAAAGGAGCTTCTGGAGGCTACCTTTGGAGAATATAGCAATGGGCGACACCAAAATAAGGATGCTAGCCAGGATGTTCGTCATCTAGCTTATCAGATCTCGAAGTGCATCCAAAAGCAACCAAATGGTCGGACAAGAGGCTTTCAACCATGTGATATACTCACAGAAACAATTGGCGAAAAGCTCTTCAAAGCCGTACAGAACTTCAATAGCCTCGTCGTCAACGGACAGTGGGCACAAGAAGTTGATTTTAGCAAGATGACATCGACTCCTATTGCTGTTCTAGATGAGATTGAAGAGAATGACACATGACACTGAATAGCAGGTTGCTGCCGGGACAGCTTTAGCTATACTTCTCTTCATTCCATTGATAATACTCCCACGCTATATTATAAGGTGACTGACACACATTGATGGAATGCATCAGATGGATTGTTCATCATTCTCTACCAGACCTTAGAACCTAGGTCTTCTCCACCCTTCATCACGCGACGCCCATTTCCTGATACCACACCGAGGGCCTTGCGTTTGGGAACTGGAGTTGCCGAAGGAGGAGGCATGTCCATAAAAGCTTGGGATGGCGTGTTAATATCAACCCACGGAGAGATATTCCGAGATGGAGTTGGTTGACTGGTGCTTTCTGGCGTGACTGCAGAAGACCATGTGAGGTTGCTGCATTCACTCATTTGACTAGAGTCATTCGACACACGCTTCCTCTTTGCAGGGGTTTGAATAGTGGCCATAAAGGCTGCTTGATATGCATTCTTCAAGACATCCACAAGACCCTCAGCAAGCTGATTCGACAAAGCCCATATTCCCAATATTGTCTGAAGATCCTTTGCCTGGAAATATTCCCGCTCCGAATAGGTGGCATTTTCAATATATATCGCAAGATGGACATATTGTTCTTCTGCCAGTATGCTTGAGCAATCAGGTATGAACTTCACTCCGTTCAAAGCGCTTGAAAGGACCTCCTTGGACCAATATTTTAACTGGTTGATGATTATCTCGTCCATCTGTCCTGACCTCGGACCGTGCTCAGTATACAGATAACGAGTTGGATCATTGAGCTGATACTCAGGATTGCAGTTGCTGCAGCACCGGTCACGCCGAGGATTACATCTGAACTCTTCAGGTTCATTGAAGTAGTCCAGGAACCGTTTCCGGAGGCATTCTGTAGGCTCATTGGCAAGGAGATACCAAAATTCAGGCAACACAGCACGTCGCTCTTCATGACTTAAGCGTCCACCTTTCTGTGGTCTCTCAGGGTTTGCTTCTTTGACTTCATCATCTGAATCGGCCAGTGGGTTGTCTTCCGCTAGATCATCATTTTCTGTATGAATCTTGCGTTTCACGGCACGTTTCTTGATACGCCCCCGTATCCACTGATCAACGAGAATAACGATCTTTCCATCCTGTCCAAGGCGAGATGCCCGACCACCGCGTTGCCAGAGCGTTGCTGGTTGTAGGTTTTTGGGGAACCGATACATGACAACTTGATCAATATCCTGGAGGTCCACTCCGAGCGCTAGTGCCTCGGTGGTCATGAGGACACGAAGCTTGGATTGCGGTCCGGGTTTCTGAAGCTCTTTGATCATTGCTTCCTTGTCTCCCTTTGCGGTGTCGCTATGGTAGACCTTCACCGTATCCATTGCCTCTTTGAGGGTATAGTTGCAATGTTGAACACTTGCCCCATCTGGTTGCTTGTTATGCTGCAGCCAATACCGACAATTTTCCATGGCAGTATATGCATCATTCTTCGAGTCAAAGAATACCAATGTCTTTGGGATTCGTGACGGTCGTAAAATGGGCTGACAAGGACCATTGTCAAACAGGAAACGCAAGGCCGTTGCCTTCTTATGCGCGCCTTGTGGGATCCAAGCTGTTTGAATGAGCAACTCTGGACGATTGACGGATGTCCGCAAGATTTCAACATCCTTTGGAAACCCAAGTCCCTCAATAACAACGCGCAATGTATTCATATCAAGCGTAGCAGAGCATGCAAACCAGGGGACGCCACTGCCGAATAGACTTCGCAATTGATGCAATCGCGCATAGTCCGTTCGAAAATCTTTGCCCCATTGAGCCACAAGATGAGCTTCGTCTACAACAACCAGAGCCAGCCGGTCTCGGAAACCTGGATGCATAGCAGTTGAACGGAACTTGTCACTGATTGCAAGCTCTGGACTCACGAGGACATGTGTGAACTTGCCCGCTTGTACCCTGTCAAGAAGTTCGGATGAGAATGTTTCCCTGTTTAGGAAACAAGGTCGCCCTCCAATGTTCTCGATGTAATTGGTCTGCTCAACGCCAATTTGATTCAATGGAAGCACAACAAGGGTGATAGACTTATCAAGCAAGAGTGACACTGCTTGCAATATCATACTCTTCCCAAATGACGTCTTCGCAATCAGGATAAGGTCCTTTCTCAGGTAGATCAATTGTCTCAATGCTTGCAACTGACCCGCACGTGGATAATAGGGATACAGCTCTCGAATTGCTTGTCTGATGGCTTGGTCCTGTTCATCCTTACGCTTCTCAGACGCATCGCGAATCAGTTTCTGCGCTTGAAGAACTGAATTCTTCTCAACTTGTTGTTTCTCCAGCAAGACAGTTGCGCCCTCATTCTCGTACTCCACTCCCAATTCAATAGGCTCTCCAGCCTTTGAAGAAGGTCGATTATTCTCAGAGGCCAACCAGTTATCCAACTGTGTCTGTCCATTTCCGGGGTCGTTCAGTTTCGCGTTATATTTCCGAGGAGGCTTCCGTCGTGATGGGCGTCGATCTGGCATCGTGAGGCGGGTTTGGAGTCAATTCTCACGCGATAGAGTTAATATTGTGGATCAGATGTAGCCACTATACATTAAAATATGTCAATATATGCTTCATGGAGGTTTTGGCGGAATACTTGGGGCATATAATGGCTTTGACAGCTTAAGAAAGGGTTCCTTCGGGTATTTTAAGGACATATTTCTCACCCACCTTTCCAGTTATACATACAATTTTGGTGTCAATGGGTTCAGCTCAGAAAGATGCAGAAGACATCGTCGCCCGATTCTTAATATTCGCGTGGGTGCGCGAGAAACTTGGAAATATTGAAAGACGCGCCTGGAAACTTCGCCATATAAACACGGGCAAAAACCCCGGAAACTTGTATGGTACCACCAAATTCCCAGCTCAGACGTTCCCCAAAAAAGGTGTGTCAGCATCGCTGGAAACAGCAGGCGGTGGATGGCCAAATTCACCGCCTTTTTGGGGGCGGCTGAGGTAACTGAGGTAAGCTAAAACTCGAGTAAGCTAGTACTGTAAGGACCGCTTTTCTTGACAGATATCAATGACTCTGTATTTCCATTACCCCTATTTCTCGCTATTTAACTAAGTTATGGGTCCATTCGAGTTACATAAGATATGCCGACGGATCATCTATAGACCGGGATTCATCCAGTATCCGTAAGTGCAATGCTTGACAAAATATGTTGGCCTGGATCTCAGGCAGGGGGTCGCTGTGAACTATCCAAAGGGTGGCCGATGAATGCCTGTCCAAATAGAATTCAGTTTAGTATTTTGTGTATAATGCGTTTTGGTCGAGATGAATACATTTAAATCTAGTAGGTAGAGGAAGCTAATCCACTCGGCGGTGTGATCCACTCGGTAGTAAATTAGGTCATGTGGTTCTTTCGCTACGACTTTAGTGAAACGACCTAACCCGATCGGTGATGCTGTCGCTTACGCCTGACCATTTTGAACCGCGCGCCTTCCTGCAACCGCCGTCTTGCAACCTATGTCTCGGGGGTTGCTCACTGACTTTCTATCTACAGTCGCACACACGACAGAAAAAATTCCGACAAAACCACTGCCACATCACAACTACAAACCCAACCCAACCACGTCCTCCTATTGGGCACACCATCCCGCCGGGCGCATCCCAATCAACGTACAAGATGGGCGACACCGACGATAAAGGCCATGTTGAAGAGGAAATTCATAAGCTTCGTCAAGATTTACAAGCGATGCGCGACCTCCGAGAGCTTGTAAAGCTTAAGGCACAGTTAGCGGAGGAGCAAAATAAGCTACAAGAAGAGCAGGCACGCCTCGACAAAGCTCAAAATGGTGTGGGCCCCGATGCTTTTGGTTCGATCAGTCGCCAGCCCTCAATGGCGTCTGACTTCTCTGCTGCTCTGGATGACTTCATACGACCTTTTCGGGATTCAAGTGTTGTGATAGCGACACCAACCCACAGCGACCAGTTTGAAAACAACAACATAGCTACTAGTGGCCCTACACCGGTGACTTGTAAGCGGGTACGATCAGTGGCTAGTCCTCCAGCGCTCCAAGAGCCTTACACCCCGGCAACAGACCCCGCATCCTATGCACCTGAACCAGTGCAAATAAACATCGGCCATATTGGGCAAGAACCATCAGCAAAGAGAATACGGGCTGACGAAGCTGCCGCTACGCTTGACCTACCTAGGTCCACTCTCCGCAAATTGCCACTCGGAGAGGAGGGACACAAGACAGGAATGAGGAAATTTTTCTCCGAAAGTGGTTTCGGAATTGAGAGAACTAGAAACGCAAGTCCTTCTCAACCTCAGACTGATCCCCAGCCCGCTTCTCTACGGACGCAACTCCAAGCTACACCTCCTTATCGTATCCCGGCCACTCCGCCAAACTCGGCGGGCCTTCAAGTTGGCATCTATCAGGGGACGGGATGGACTGAATACATCCATTACATCAACACACTAGATGCCCACTTCGCTCAGCATCCTGGATATTATACAGAGGCTCGAAAAGTGGAGCTTGGGGCACAATACATCTCGCGCAAGCTAATGGGTGAGTTGCCAGGTCAGACCAACCATCCCGAGAGCATGACGTGGCTGTCGTTTTGTACCCTATTAGCCCAAGAACTCCCGCGAAACGCAAGAATTGGACAAACCATTGGATATATTCGAGGCGCTCGCCAGAAACGAGCCCAACCCGTGACCCATTTTGCCTTATGGCTAATCCAATGGGCACCTTTCACTCCTAAATACAGCGCTCGGGATTTCGGGGAATTCTTGCTAGAAGGGGCGTTACCCGAGATTAGATGCCAGGTGGAAAAGTTTTACACAGTACCTCGGGATTATAATACGTTGGTTTCATATCTGCAAGGGATTGAAAACGCAATTCCGGCCCGAGCGAGAGTTATCTCATCACGAAAGAAGGACATTGTTTTAAATGGCGACAGTCAAGTGGTGCCGGTCTACTTCGCACGCGACTGGGAGGAATACAAACAATTCATATCTCGGTTACAAAGTTGTTTTGAGCAGCGCAGAAGCTCAGACGAAGAAGCACTTATGATTGATGTCGGCAGGAAGCGTCTATCGCGTTTATTGCGCGAAGGATGGGATAAGCGTGCCGCCGATCTGAAAGAAATCAACTGGTTCGCATTCTGCGTCTTTCTGGTGGAACAAATTCCCTCAAAAGGCTCAAAGAAAAGGTATTGGGGAATAACTCAAAGAGAAAATCAGCCTGTGGATATCTTCGCGCTCGAGCTACTCCGGTGGGCTCCGGATGATTTAGGTGCAGCGCACGACCGCCGGAAGCATCTGTCGGAACGGGTGCTCGAAGAACTTCGTTCAGAAGCAATACAAAGCTTAAAGGTCTTTGATGAGTTTCACTTGTTCGTTACTCATCTGCGGCAAATTCAGGGATCTCTCCTGACCCACCGACCGCCGAAGCGCCGACGTGTCGTTGATAGCTTCTCACTGGGTAGATCATATTGCAACCAGGGGGTACGATGATGCTGAGGAAGCATATATTTCAGGAACGCTGAGATTGTTTAGGTCTGGCCTCACTCTCAAGGCGAGAGAGACCCTATAAAAATGAGAGAGAGAAACCTCTCCTGATCTGAACTCTTCATGGAAGGATCAACGCTTGCTGGTTCTTGCCAGATAGTATCTGGTATAAACCGTTTAACGGATCTCAATGTATTTGACTATGTGTATTGAGTACCGATTTTCATTGTACATTCATTTTATTTTTTTTATTGAAACCTACGATGTCTGGATGAAAGGAGTATTCAAACTGTCAGTTCCAGAGAGTGTAATTTTCTCTGAACATGTTATAACTTCCCATTCCTGAGGCGTCGGGATTAATGCCTGACCCATCAGGCATCTCATGCCAGACGCCGCATCAATCTCCACCTGAAGCCGCGTATTTAAGCTTTTATATTTGACTATGCACACTTTGTATAGTCTCCTATGTAAGATTATATCTTGAGAGTCTATAACTTACTATTGCGAGCGTGGTCAAGATACTAAGGAAAATTTGTCGATGGACTTGAAGAATGAATTCTGCAGAATTATTGGGGATAGGTTTCGTCCATAAAAGATGCGTACTAGATATACTTTCGGATACATTTTCTTTAGTTGATCTACCATATCAGGGTTTACATTAGGTAGAAGGCTTTTTGCCTGTTTTTTTGCTGATTTTTTCTCCTCACTTCGCTCTCACATTTGTGTTTCCACGTCACTATGGCATTCCCTTATCTAATGCTAGAGATAGTAGCGACCTTCTTTTATCTTATTATTACCACTAGGAGCCCTTTAAAAGCTAGTCAACTGCCCGACCGAGTCCAAAAATTCCCTATTCCATCCTCTCTAAAAGTGTGTCGGGGTTTGCCGAAGTGCTTTGGCCCAATATGACAAATGCCGGCTTCATTGAGTGTTGGCTTACTACAACATTCGTGAATACCGATGAGAATGCAAAAATGGTAAATTACGCACGAATCAGCCGGTCATCTGATGTCTGGAAGGTCTTTGTTTAGGCTATAACAGTCAAATAGACATAATAGTCGGCGTTTGCGACGTCAAGCTTGAAGACATAATAATTATTTCGAGTTCTAGTTATACTGGGATATGGCCGAAGGAACCGAAGACCATCAAACCTCTGATGAGGAGTCATTGGGACATCTCAAAAAACATCAGGTGGATTATATACAAAAAATCGAACGACAAATGTATAAGGGTATTCTGCGTGATCCGAAAGCGTTACCAAGAATTGCGATCACAACCGCCAAAGTCCCGTCATCCAGAATAATCTTGCTATCGTGACTAGCACAGCCTCCTTTGCAAGATGCTTTCGCAGCCCTCGGCTTAATAGCTATCTAAAGGCAAACCTGGACACCAAGTGACTGCAGGACATCTGCTGGGGACGTGCGATCTGGGATGAGTCTCATCAGGAGCGAAACGAGTACTCCACGTGCCAAGTTATGGGAGACCTTGGCAGAAAGCCAGATAGTACTTCCTGTCTGGGACCCCTTTCGAAGCCAGCCCACTGAATCTCGTGCCCTATATTCTCTGTCTTCACACCTGAAGCTTGCTGGATACTACGGAGTTGAAGAGCATTGGAAAGGAATGCAAAGACGGCAGTTACGAAAAAAAAAGAAAGCCCCAATGCGAGGGCTTGTGCGTCGTTTTCGAGTAATACTTGTAGCATACCGATACAAAGTGAACAAAACACCCTGATATTACACAACAAGAATAGTGGGATTTGACGAGAATAGGTAATTACTGACATTGATAGGCTCGGTACTGCAAGGTAGCAATTTTAATTTGCTGGATATTTTGCCCTTTCCCTACAAGCAACATGTGATATCTCCAATTGGCTGGATACAGTACAAATTGCGACATACTCCTCGGGAGTCATGATATCTCTTGTTTCTGGTAGAAGGGAAACTCAAGCATCATCGCCGACCTCTCAATATGACTTAGAGCTGTTCACGATACGATATCGGCACTGTTTTCCCATATCGTCAATCGGCGCTGTCAACTTCGAAGTCTGCCGATATCGTATCGGCAATCGACATCGTCAGTTTAAGAACCTGTCGATACGATATCAGCAAATGATATTATCGTCGGCGATAAATCGTCACCGGTAATTGGACAATAAGAGAATAGTTCCTGGTCCTAGATATAGAAGACTTTACTGCAAAGAGAATGTAAGCTTAGATACTCGTGAATTAGGGCAATCCGCTTCCGTTGTGTAGTCCTACGTTGTGTTGTTGCCGTACTATGCGGCTTGATATTTATATATTTCATGTTGCTCTCCTGTCCTATCAACTAACTCTGCTATTGCAAAGTACATGTTTAATCCTTTCTAAGTTGCTTCCATTCCTCTGCGCATACGTATATATATATTTACGTCATTGGCTTTTTCCTGCCAACATACTATCGTATTACCTGTTCTATTCTATGGCTACGGCTTCCTTCTTCGGCTATGCTATATGGCAGAATATCCAGAGGCCATAAGGGTTCAATCCCATTTTATGGTTCAACTCTATTTAGACGCGACGCGTCTGAGAGACTGGGACGCGTGCCCCTACCTCTTCTTCGTTGACAGTGCAGCTCTCCCAGAAACTAACCAACTCCACATATGACTCTTCAACCCTAGTTCTACTGAACCACTAGGTCCATATCAACAGTGAGCTGTGATCAGCAAGTTGTATTCACTCACACTTCACCAGTGGCCCGGTGTATCCAACACAAAATGCGTACCCGACAGAAACGCCTCAACTACCGTGTTCTGAATGACGAGAGCGATGGAGACTCTTTGCCCGAGGATCACACCGACCTATCAAGCGAATCAAGCGAGCCACCGAGCAATCTCATACGTACTCTCCCAACCTATCAAAAAGACGCGGTGATCCTCGCCAACATACCAGATTGCGAGCTCCTACCTTCCCAGTCTGTGTCGCAAGTGCTAGTATCCCAGGAGAGCTCAACAGATGCTGGTACTTCAATCACAAGCCACGTATCCTCTCGATGGTGCAAACGGCCAGCGCCGGCTACAGAGTGGATCTGGGGATACTTCGAGACTACAGCCGTTGATTGTCCATGGGCTATCAAGAGGACCAACAAGAGGCGGCTGTTTGACCGAGAGATTTGCTGTATGCATGTAGATGAAAAAACGGGAACACGCTGTGACTGGCATACGTCAGATTCCCAAAGGCAAAACACAACCAGCAACATGAAAACCCACTTGGCAAAGCATGGCATTTACTGCCCGACCTCCAGTATACAGCCAGCGAAGAACGGACCAGACATTCGGAGTTTTATGGGTGGTGCCCAGAGTCTCACCCATCAACAGGACTTGGAAAGGAATGTCATTCGCTGGATCGTGGCTGATATGAGAGTCTTCACCACTGTCGAGTCTCCAGAATTTCAGCAAATGTTCCGAGACATTCCTGGAATTGAGCCTCCATTCACTTCTCGCCACACCTTGCGGGATCGAATCATGCAAGAGTTCGTCATACAGTGCACCAATCTGAAGAATGAGCTGACTTTGACTTGCAAAACCATTGCCTTATCACTGGATATCTGGACAAGCCAGAATCATCTTCCAATTTTAGGGATAATAGGACATTGGCTGACTGACGAATTTGGGTACCGCGAGAGATTACTCGAGCTCACCGAACTCCAAGGCATTCATAGTAGAGAAAATCTAGCAATTACAGTGGATAATATGCTTATTGAGTTGGGTCTCGAGGACAAGCTCATTTCCATTACAGGCGACAACGCCAGTAACAATGAGGCCATGGCATCGGAGTTATACTTCTCGCTTTGCGACCGACCTAGGGTAGAAGACGCCATGCCAGCACCACTCTATCGAGGCCTTGACAGCTACATCCGCTGCCTGGCTCACGTCCTCAATCTGATTGTGAAAGATATCCTCCGTAACCTGGGGTCAGGGACGATGGAACAAGCGCAAGTTGCCTGTGACTGTTTACAGACTGGTAACTCGATCACCGATCACTCAGCTATAGGGAGATTACGGGTCCTCGCTCTTTGGATTAACCGAAGTCCTCAGCGCCGACAGAAATGGAAGGAGATTTGCAGACTCAACAATCTTCCAGACAAATTCGTTGCGTACGATGTTACGACACGATGGAACTCGACATTTCGCATGGTCGATGATGGCTTGAAGTCAAGGCAACAAGTCAACAAGTTCCTAAACCTTCAGGAGGAACTATCGCCGTTCACTCTCCAAGATTGGTCACGGCTGGAACAGATTCACACAGTACTCCACAAGTTCAATGAGCTTACTTTGTTCATTTCGAAACGCAATCCACAAATCAGCCTCGCAGTCCCAATTTACTATGAGCTACACGAACCGCTTGATGACGTGACGGAGGGCAATGGTGACTTCGCAAAACTGGATCGAGATATCATAGCTGCAGTGAAAGAAGGGATGAAGAAGTACGAAAAGTACTATTCCATTATGGATGACTGCGATACCTACTACACTGCCCTCGTCTTGGATCCCCGAGTCAAAGGTGAAATGGTCTTACGGGAACTTCAAGGTGGCAATGCAGGGACAATGGTTCTGGAAACGATCCGCACCAATCTACATCAGGTATACGCGGCTAGTAACCCGGAGCATGATGCCGCTGCATCAAGATCATCTTCCCTGCAGCATAGTGATGTGGAGTCTAGAATGCTGAAGAAGTTGCAGGCGCGAGATCCACCGCTCTCAGATATTGATAAGTACTTCGACACCCCTCCGATCAGCGTCGCAGATACAACCGGCCAGAACTGGCTCTGTAATTGGTGGAAGATGCACAAGGGCGAGTATCCGCGGATGGCAGCAGCAGCCAGGGACTATCTAGCGATTCCTGCTTCTGAAGTTGCTGTTGAGAGAGTCTTTAGTACAGCGAGGGATGTGCTAGGCATCCGGAGATATTCTTTGAAAGGGGATACCTTAAGAATGCTGATGTTGATTCGCGATGGGTATAAGTGGTAGCGGTTAAGGGATTTGGTTAAATTATGCCATCGCGATATTCCGGTTCTGCATTCATAAAGTGTCAAATAAAACTGCTGTTCGGCGAAAGCCCGTTCGCTCTCTAGATGATTCTAAAGGAAAAATGTGCCGATGCCGATACGATATGACGATATCGTGAGTGGTGATATCGTCAAATTTGAAGCCCGCCGATAACGTACCGGCAATCGGCATCGACAAATTCAAAAGCAGCCGATATCGTATCGTCTGTAGATATCGTATCGTCAATATCGGTATATCGGCAATATCGTCAACAGCCCTAATTACGACAGTTTCGGAATAAACAATGTAATTCAAAAGACGATTGGCTGTTCTCGTTCCAGAGGGATTGAGAGAGTCTGGATATTCAACCAGTGGATTAATCATCGAGGGTACCTTCCACGGCGGCAAAGCGCTGTTCTTCGAAGAGCAGGACTACCGCCAGACCTGGGTAGCTGGTACGGGTCGGATCGGGCACTGGATCTATGAGGCCCTCTTGGAGGCAATTTCTCAAATCGCCGCGCTGGTTGTGTTGGCGGTCCGGATAGCAAATTGCGTTGGGGTTTGTGCCCGAGCTTGTCATGTGAGAATATCCTCTTCTTCCTAACGAATAGGGAACGCCAGCACATGCCCCGCTTTCTGCCTGCATTATAAGGCGTCAATTCTTTGTCAACCGCCAACTGGAAGGCGCTAGGTCAAGTGCAGTATTGCTTTTATTGCCCAGCTAAGTGGTAGTAGTCAAGACTCTCATTCACGTCTGCTGAGAATACTACGCAGTGAGGTCCCAACGTATATAGATTACGATTTATTATTATTCTATTGAAAAGACTATTGTTCTCCCTGTTTATACAGAAAACTCCGAATAGGAGAAGAACCGGCCAATACGATGTTTACCTTAGATCTCGCTCGCTGGGCAATGGTCGCGAGCAAGGCGGCTGGAAAGGATATCTACATACATATCCGAGTGGTGTTTGGGCTAGAGCGCCTTATGAGCTATGTTGTTCAAGCAACAAGGGGAGAAATGTTTATTAGTGAAATGGCCGGCGGTCGGGAAAGCTCCAGCCTACGATACTTTTTGCCTACGATAAGATGGTAAAGTTTTTACACAAGCATCAGGGTGTATTCTACATCCTATCCTCGCACAACTAACAGAGTGTTGATGTTACGGCCAAATTCGCTCAATAATTCGAAAGGGGTCGTTTAGAATATTAATTGGCGGATGACAAGTGGGGATGCCAGGTGGATTCAGTCCGAGACTATTCCGCGCATCTTTTACACAGGCTGTCCAGAGTACGTACGTAAATACACTTGCCCAGGAGGGGGCTCGAAATTCTAAACTTCCGTTAAACACTTTTGTATTGGTTAAAATGAGTTTGTATCGTCACCAATGGGTAAGTGGCATCGCTGTCTTGTGGCAGCCGAGGTTGGCCTGAGGAGATTAAATAGATAGTCATGGAAGGATTAATGATTATTAAAAATTGACAAAAGTAGCATCTCATAGTTGTAAGTGGCTTGGTCAAGACGAGCCCCGCTTTGTTGAGGTTAGTGTGAGCGGAGGTTGGTTTGATAGTTGCCAACGGGAAGCGGGAAAACGTATATGTGCGTATAGCATTACTTATGATTTCAGGGTCTGAGAATGACGTTTCAGTAGAGCTAGTATGCGAATTATGGCGGAACTAGAACGCTGCCAGGGAAATCAGGTAGACGAAACCCCCAATGCTAAATATAAAACATTACTAGACATTTTTATCTTTAGATGGTGTGGTTCTTGGTACCGACCAAGGTCTTGTGCAGCCAACAGTTGGAGTATCTATCACGATATATGCCTGCAGTCAGCATGAGAATGCTAACGGGAGATGACGAAGTTGACTGTTGGCGTAATCAAAGTATTTGGGACAAAGCTCTTCAGGGCATGAAAGTCATTTTCTCTACCCATGCTGTGCTTGCCGATGCACTCACGCACGGGTTCATGTCCCTGCACCGACTGGCTTTAATAGTGTTTGATGAGGGTGCGAACTGAGAAGACCAAATGCTTATTCCCCAGGCTGACAATATACAAGCTCATCATTGCATGAAATCACATCCTGGAAACCGTATCATGCGCGATTTCTACCATGTGGCTAAACTAGAAGGCTCGACCCTTCCTAGCATCCTTGGGCTTACAGCCTCAGTTGATGTAGACAAAATTTCGTTCGTAAAATCTGTGCCATGCTGAACACAAGTGTAACTGATGACTCTCAAGGGAGCTCGAACGAAACCTGGATGCAACCTGTCGCGCCCCGTTAGTTCAACGCCACGAATTGACAGAGTATGCTCCTCATCAGTGTCTCACAAAAATCTCCTACACCCAAAGTTGCTACGATACGGTGAGCCCACCTTCTTATTTGGATACACTGGAAGAGGCAGTCATGGAGTTACGTGAATACAGCAAAAGTGAAGGTTATAGCATCCATAGTGAACTTTTGAAAGTTCCCTCGAAAGCACGGGATATTTGGCATCATTTAGGGGCATGGGCTCTACAATACTTTATGACACGAAGGGTTCCACAGCTTGTCCAGCACATTACCAAACAGGAGACAACCGCCTCTGTTCAGTCATACGATCACAGATTTACGGCTTTGAGAACCGTACTGAACAGTATTGTGGAAGGAGCTGTTGTCCCCTTACAGTGGCCTGGCAATATTTCCAATAAAGTGAAACGACTCCTATTATTTCTGAAAGAAAGAAGTCACCCAGATTCCTCGGGTGTCATTTTCATTCGAGAAAGGATAACAGCATATGTCCTTTCGGCGCTGCTTGATACTCACCCATTAACTCAAAATGCCTTCCGATGCGCGCCCTGTGTGAGCAGCTCTGTGTGAGCAGCTCTGTGTGAGCAGCTCTGTGTGAGCAGCTCTGTGTGAGCAGCTCTGTTCGATCTGAGTCTTCTTGGACCAAAGGGGACGATTTGTCTTTTGGGAAAAATGAGGATATTGTTATGCAGTTCCGCAGCGGCCTAAAAAACTTGATTGTTGCTACTAGCGTTCTAGAAGAAGGTATTGACCTCCCAGCTTGCCACCTGGACATTTCATTTGATTCTCCGGACAATATTACATCTTTCATCCAGCGCCGAGGTCGAGCACGACAGGGCATTTCCGAATTTGCTGTGATGGAAGCAAATGATGTTGAATCCGTTTCCGCGTCTTCCAAACAATATAGCGATCTTGAAAGGCAAATGCAGATCATATGCTTAGACCATCAACGAAGCCATCAGACGCTAGAGGCGGGCAACATCCAATCGGACGATGTCCTTCTCCAACTACGATTACACACGGGGTTTGCTCGTCACCTCCCAAAACTGTTTGTATGTTAGCTGACGTAAGAGAACTTTCTTTGCAGTGCCCTGTTGACTAGCGAGAACGCTATACCCCATCTATTTCACTTCTGCACAACCTTGCAAAGGGAAACACTTGGCGAAACCCATCCCACGTTCTCATACCAAAGGAATGGTGAAGGTCTTGCACGATCAACGGTTTATCTGCCGAGCGGCATTGACCGTTTCTTACGAATTGTGGATGGTCACCATTGGTGGGGAGCAAAGCAGTCGGCCCGACAGGATGCCGCCTTTCAGGCTGTTCGTGCCTTGCATGGTCAAAATCTCATAGATGACCATCTTCTTCCTTTGTTTTCGGACAATCCCTGGACCAGTGAGATTTATGAAAGAGATATTGTCGCAGAGCTCCCCCAAACAGAAAATTTGATCAACTTTTGGAAAGGCATTCCGGGACCTTGGACAGAACGCAAGCTATATAAGTGCCGCGTCAGTTTCTCCGCAAACGGGAAAGATAGGCCAGAACTTGCAATGGCGATCTTTACGCCTGTCAAATTACCGGTGAAGGACGATCTGGATCTTTACTGGGATAACCGAACATCATTCACTGTTAGCTTGCAGCCTTTCAACAAGGAGACTGCAATTTCACCATCCACCAGACGCCTCATATGGGAGATCTCGACCCTACTATTCCAATCTACACGCGCAAGTTCTGTACAAGAACAGTATCCAGATTTTCTGCCCTTTTTTACCCCAGACCTTCCTCTGCAAGATTTAGAAGACTGGCTCAGTGTTAACTAAGGATCCGTCGCTATTCGTGAAGGGCAAAATAAAGTTCCGATTCTTGCTCCCTCCGGCTTTATCCGCAGCCCGGGCCTTCATTTTGCTCCGCATATTTTTGTGAGATGGGTTCGAGGGCCAGATCCCAAAGAGCTTTTTATTGAGCCGAAGATTTGGAAAGAGGAAAAACCTGCTTGAGAGAGCTTCATTATGCCTCAGAACTTCACGCGAATCAGCCTCCAATATAACCCGGGTAGCGGCGTCAAACTGCATCCTGGACTTCCTGCCTTGGGAGCTGAGCCTGGCCAGCCTCGCTATTCCACCGATCATACAACTTCTGCATCAGCACCTGATGGCATATGAAATAAAAACCAAGATGTTCAAATATCTACCTATGACCGGTTCTAGTTATCTCCAAGAGGCAATCACAGCGCCTTCTTCTCAATGGCCCAACAATTACCAGCGACTAGAATTTTTTGGTGATTCTATCCTCAAATATGTTGTCACCGTATATGCATTTTCTAGATATCCTTTGTGGCATGAAGGTTATCTGTCAAAGTTCAGGGACCTACTCGTCTCGAATGAGAGGCTGACGTGCGCAGCCGCAAGTGCTCATCTGGAAAGGTTTATCTGTACTGATTTTATCACAATGAAGCATCCTTTATTTTCACCTGCTGTGAACGAAATACAGAACAGAAAGCTACCTAGAAAGGTTTTTGCGGACGTGGTCGAAGCGCTCACAGCAGCTGCCTACGAATGTGGTGGAATATCGCTCTCCCAGCAGCTTCTTGGCATATTTCTCCCGGAACTTTCGAACATTTCAGCCGAAGCACAACACACGCGAAAGCAAGACCACAAGTTTCCGGACCATTTAGAAGAGAAGATTGACCTATTGCTTGCCTTCAAGTTCCAGGACCGGACACTGATTTGGGAAGCACTCACCCACCCATCATGGCAAAGAGACGACACAACTGGGTCTTATTAGCGGCTCGAATTTCTGGGCGATGCAATTCTTGACTTTATTGTTTCGAAGAATCTATACAATCAGCGCCCCAAGCTTTCCGAAGGTCGAATGACGGAGCTCCGAGCTGCTTTGGTCAACGCCGACTTCTTAGCTTTCCTTTGCATGGAGCTCACCTTGACAGAGTCATGCTGTTACAAGCCAAATTCGATAAAAGAGGATTGCAAACCGCACACTCTGTCGAAAAGTACTTCCTTGTGGATGTTCATGCGTCACAATGCTCCAGAAATCCTTAAGTGTCAAGCTTCACGCAGCGAGCGGTATCGAATACTCGGCTCTAAGATCAAAGGGGGGTAGAAAACGATGTTTCATATCCCTGGGCCGCGCTCGCTCAACTGGCACCACCCAAGTTCTATTCCGATCTTATCGAGAGCACTATCGGAGCAATTTTTATAGACAGCGGGGGTCGTATAGATGCATGTGAGCAGTTTTTGGAAAGGATTCATCTGATAGCTTATCTTGAGCGTTTTGTGGGGCAGGCTATACTTATAGGGCACCCTAAGAACGCACTAGATCGCATTCTGGGTACCCGGAGATCATATTTTGAATTTGCACGAACGGATGATGGGCTTTACAACATCTCTGTCTGGCTAGAGGGAGGTAATATTGCATCTATCAACGGTTGTTTGACAAAGAACGAGGCAGTTGTGCGAGGTGCGGATGCGGCAATGGCATTTTTGTCACATACCTGACCGCACAAATAGTAATCTCCCTTATTCGGGAAAAGACAACACAAATATTTTCTCTTTTTTTCGTCTGGGTTGCAGTATACAAGACTTAAGAAGGCTCGGCGCGGTTAGAAGCAGCTAGTAGTTGACATCCTACACTTAGCATAGCAGATTTCAACTTCAAATTCTCATTTTGAATAAGAATACGTTGAAACACGGGTCGCTACTGTGCCCTAACAAACTAAGCAATAAGTGAATTTGACAAAGTTGAGTCGCCTGCACGAAAGCGAAACCCCTTGTCAGAACCTTTTCAGCCTTGAGAAGACTCTAGTCAACACAATCAAGATAGATGCGGCACACAGCCTCCTACATAATCACTAGAGCCAACGATCCGAGCCATTCGTGTACAAATATCGGATTGCCCCTTAATAATGTAACTTTGCCGTGGCGAACGAAACAACCGTGCCGAAATATCGGCGAGTCATCTTGTAAAAATCCATGAAATATTTACTATAACTCGCTGGTATCTGTATCAAGTTGAAAAGCAAGGAACATATCCTCTAATCCCTACTATACTCGAGTTGATGCCAAAATACTTTCAATCAAATGGGCCGTACCATGGTCGAAATCCTGTAACTAATACTTGTACAGCCCTTGCCGGCCGTTCTTCTATAATGCCGGTTATGAGTTCTGTACGTTTTCCAATCTCTATATTATACAAGTATTTCATAGCTTGGGATGAGATCGACTGCGGAGCGACATTTGGTATTTCTAATATTCTCCCGTGTCTCTCTTTAGCATGCTTGATACAGGGTAATTGGCAGGTGAGGAGAGATAAGTCGGCTGTAGTGAGAGACAAGAATCTACATATTTGAAATTTTTCAAAATATATCATAATCTGTACATGGGTTTAATATTTGGGAAATCTAGTTTGAGCAACGCTGCTACCTAGTAAAAATGTATTTTCAATGGAGCATGAGGCTATCACATATTTAGGCCAGGTAGGTCCTCTATAAATCATTGTCCTGGGACTTTCATTTGCCTTAATATATATATTTAATCACTCAAATCTACCAGTCATGTATCCTAAATGTCGATGTACCAGAATGCCACCCCTCACCACGCTCATAATCACTTAAATTCGTTGTCACGGCAGAAGACCATGTATGTGAGATTCTTGGGTTATACAAGCCGTTGAGTAATATTTAAGTTTACGTGGCAGCAGATGGGGTATGCAAGCTATATTGGTACATTGTCGAAAAAGATTGCAGGGAACGTCCGTATTCACCTTCAGCCTCTACGACATCACTATTCTTCGCGAGCGCTGATTGTGCTTATATCAAAAATTTCTCTGTGTATCCTATTCATCTTCTCCGAGTGTCAAGCCTGTGAGGTGTTATAAATTATAATACAATTTAGAGCGTAGTGTTGATGACCACTTATAAGAGAGATTCTAGTTTGCGTAGATCAGTTGTACTATTTTGCAGATTGCGTATATAATCAATATACAACAGTATTATTAATGGTAAGAAGTTTCCTCATTCTAGATCTATTTCAAAAGACCAAGCGTAGGGAGAGTGATAATAAATAGTGACTAGTGCGTCTTTGGAGACGGTAATAGACCAAGCAATCACATTCATCTCCGCTCCGCTGGCTAATTGTGGGGAATGTCGCCGCCAATCAACTGGCAGTATAAAGCCTGCGAATGAATTCATGGTATATGTAATTTCAATTCATTCTTGCGACTAAATTTCTTCTCATTGATGTAAATAAGTATTCGCGAGATGTATAAAATAAGATAAAGCACGTATTTGGGTTACTTCAAGTATTGCCAAAAAGAGAAACCCCCCATCTTCCGAACAAAAACCTTCATCAAAGTCCGTTTCTGCACTAAAGTATCCGAAAATTCGGCCTCGAGCGGACTGTTGAACCTATTTTGATGAACTTGTGTACATGTACTTGGGTGAGTCTCCGGACTTTCTATACCGGATACCTCAGGCAAGTCAGAGCTAATGCCAAAGCGCCGGATATCCGTGATGTTTGTGATTGAATCTGGATGCCAGCGTTTTGATGGTAAGTGTTGTAGAATATGGATAGCCACTTGCTCGCGAAGGTCTTTCGTCATCTTGTTCAAGATATATTTTTGTTGTCTGGCGGCAGGGCTTTCGTCGTTGAAGTGTTGCACAAGTGGAGGACTCCACTTCGTCCAAATTTTGCGGTGAGAAGATGACACCATCACACGGGCCGGATGATATTTAAAGTACATTTCGCAGCAGAGGCACGCTGGCTTACTACAAGCGATGAAACGATCTTCACCCGCGAATGATCTTTGCGACTTGTGAAAGTACTCCAACAGTCGGATCTCCGCATGAACTTCGAGCAAGGAGCCGTCATATTGACGCAGAAAATTTTCAAATATCCCAGCCACCTTATTCAAGTGGAGAAGACCATCCTCGAGCATTTCCCTCTCATGGTCATCGTGCTTAAACATCCGATTCAGAATTCCACGAAGGTTAGTGTGTGAGTCGCGAATGGGCGGAGGTACGGCGGATGGTGCTGGAATTTTACAGACAGCGTAGCTATCAAGGAGGTGACTGAGATCCTTGGTATCCCGGTGCAGCTCTTTTGTAGCCCTTATATGATGAGCAAGCCGTCCGATGTAATGATGTACGAGGATAAACGACGAGCGCTTGCTTGTAGGGCCTGAATGTCTCTCATCTTCCAAACCCCGGCTCAAAATCTCATTCATATGCTTTGAATGACGGTGGTCGTATGCAAATCTGCAAAGTTCGAAGTGATCATTGAAGCCCATAGCTGTTTGCAGCTACCCAACCAACTGCGAACCTTTGGATTGATTAACAAACTACGATAAGATCTGTATGAATGAGCGAAAGGGAGGGACATACCGGAAACTGCGTTTCCTTTCTTTAATTTGGAAAGACAGTCTTTTACGTCTCTGCGAAGACATTTGCTTTCCTCTTTAATGCGCTCAGCAGCAAATCCAATGCATAGCTGAGAGAATGTCGATTCTCTGCAGGCATTTGAGCCAGCTTGATGGACTGTGGCCCGCAAAATATAGAGTACGTGTTGAAGAAACGCAGCGATTTTATCGGTATTTTTATTTGATGCAACACAGAAGTTGTAGCACGTATCGAGCTCCTCGAGGCCAATTGCAGTGCATGCGCTGCCTCCTTTTTGGAAGTCACAGACATAACAAAGATTTTGCAGAAATTGTCGGCGTTGCGCCCTGGTGGCATCAAGCTCGTGTGAGGTTGTGTGGTCGCCACGTGTCTGTCCAAGTGTCTTCAAAAGAAACAGTTGCTCGTAAAATCGACCGAGAAGCCTCTGGTACGGGTCAAGCCTGGGGCGACCGACACGTTTTGGATCAATTTCCAGATTTTGCCCCAGTGTTGCCAAGGCCATACCTCTACTATTCGGTGTTCCCCGATGGAGCATACAAGTCAATTTCGTAATTAACAGAACTGGCCCGCCGAAAACACATGAAAGAGCCACGAAGGACTTCATATATATTTATAGTTAGGCATTCCAGCATGCGATCCAAAAGATGATGCTAAGAGTAATTGGCTGCCAGCAGTCTTCCCAATCGGCCTAAACACTCTAGGCCGCCATGCAGGAGGCCGTCATGCGGGAGAGATGCTATGCGGGAGGCTCGAAATGTGGGAGGCATACTATGCGGGGGCCCAAGTGCCCTGAAACGAACGAAGTGAGAGGAAGGGTTTACCTTCGCCCGCAGGGATACCCTTGTAGTCAAAACTTTGCCCTGAAACGAGAAACGAAGTGGAGGGGTTTTACTACCCTGCGCGAGCTGCTCGCGTTCCTTTGCTGCTTTTCCCACTGCCCTGAAACGAAGGAACGTAGTGAAAGGGTTTACAACCCTGCGCGAGCTGCCCGCCAACCTTTGCTGGCCTCTCACTGCCAAACTCTTCGTTTTTTTCGTTGCTAATTTTCGTTGCCCTGAAACGAAGGAACGTAGTGAAAGGGTTTACAACCCTGCGCGAGCTGCCCGCCAACCTTTGCTGGCCTCTCACTGCCAAACTCTTCGTTTTTGCCCTGAAACGAAGGAACGTAGTGAAAGGGTTTACAACCCTGCGCGAGCTGCCCGCCAACCTTTGCTGGCCTGCCCTGAAACGAAGGAACGTAGTGAAAGGGTTTACAACCCTGCGCGAGCTGCCCGCCAACCTTTGCTGGCCTCTCACTGCCAAACTCTTCGTTTTTTTCGTTGCTAATTGGTGCTTTCTCGTGCCAAGGAATGCTCCTATTGACTGCCAATACGCTCTTCTCGTTTGCTGCTGCGACTCTCCAGGCTCTCCTCCGATTGCTGCTCTGTCTCTCCGCGCTCGCTTCTGATTGCTGCTCACCTACTTTCCTTTCCTTCCTCCTTAGGCTTTGTGCTTCCCGAATTCGTATTCGGCCTCTGTTGCTTTTTCTCCGTGTCTAGGGATCCCGGTGTTCCCGCTAGTCTTGGAGTCGGTGGGGTTCCGGCCTTCTCGCCTTTCTATTATGATTCCACCCTTATTTTTCCTGAGCATCCTGCAGATAGTACTATTATGCACTCATGCGCACGGTGACGTGTTCGACTTCTACTATGTGAATGATCAACACGGATCTTTCTCGCTGGTCCCAACTTTTTCCTGTCGCTCCTCTCCCAGTGCGCCTCGGAACGGATGCCGTTTGCTGGTTTCAAGTCATCTCTTCTCTAATGACATCTCTTCCTGCGCAACGTTCTTTCTGCTCTGGTTGCGCCAGACCATGGCGCTCTACACAGTTTCGGTCCTGCGACAATTGCCGCAGGAGGGTTTCTCAACGGGCGGTCAGAGCCCGACAGCTTTCAGCTACTGTAGGCACGAGTAATATTTTAACTGGGCCACCTCCGCCTCTAACTTCCCCTACTGTTCCTGCCTTTTCGATGCTACATTTTTCGTGCTCTACATGTGCACGCCCCTGCCGGTCGTTGTATCATAGGACGTGTAATCGCTGCCGCCAGGCAGCTACACGGAGGGCGGTAGCATCGTACCAGGTACTGGGAGTGGTCCGTCCTTCTTATCTGCCGCATTGTTGACCCTGTCCAGCACACACTGCAGCCCGTTCGAGACCCTGGAACGTTTTTGCCTGCAGGAGGCTCTACTCTAAGGCCTCTGGCCCCAGTTCCACACACGCCACATCCTGTTTGTGATCCTAGAGCATCCTTGCCCGCAAGGGAATCTCCTTTGAGGCCTCTAGCACCAGCTCTCCGCATACCAAGTCCTGTTAATGACAATTCTGTACATGATACTGTAGCATACTTGCCAGAAAGGAGATCCCGTTTGCGGCCTCTGGCACCAGTTCCGCAAGCGCCGTTGGCTCCGCCTCCATCCTTCGATATTCTAAACGCTGCGCTTCGGCCCGTCCCTGTGCCATTATATTCGAGAACCGGGCCGGGACCCCAGAGAGTGCTACTTCCTGCAGGTCCTTTGCCGGTGTCCTCCCCACAGTCGCCACGGATGTCACAGGCATCTCCCATCAATATAGAGACAAGATGTCCGAATCCTTTACAGGCCACGGTCAACAGGGAGAGAACGGTAGATTTGGAGAGGTCGCTGGCCAATTTAAATCGAGCGGTAGGTTTCCTGCGTGCTGAGCTAGAGGCTCGTGCCGTCGCCTCCGATGCTTTTCCCCCGGATATCTCCTGTTCGCATATACGAGCATCCGTAGCCAGATACGAGGATGAGATTTCTGCGGCTGCGAAGAGATGCGTCTGTTGTTCGTGCGGGGAACTTGTCTCCGACACAGATATCTACCGCGCACATAATGAGGATCCTTTGCTGCTGTCACTGTTGGGGAGTCTTGATCCCTGCGGCCGACATGGTAACACTTGGAATCTGTGCTCGTCGTGCCATGCTTCGCTCAATCGAAATATGATCCCCAAGTTCTCTGCGAAGAACCTTGTGAATGTGACTTGGTGCCAGGACTATCCGTCTGCTCTGGAAGGCCTCACTCTGACAGAAGAATGTCTCATTGCAAAGTGCCATCCTCTCGGTGTCGTTTTGAAACTGCGACCAGGTGGCCGCTCCTCGCCAATCAACTACCGTGCTCTCCGTGGCCATTTCATTGTCATCCCACAGGACCCAGAACCACTTCTCGAGATCCTACCGAGCCCGGAGTTGACATTACATAGTCTGATCAAGGTGTTCTGGTTGGGTCGTCGACCTCCCGTAGATTCGGACCTGATTCAATTCCTACTCGTGCGGAAGGCGAAGGTTCTGGCAGCCTTGGAGTACCTTGTCCAACATAACCACCTCTACCGTAACACCATAATTAACCGTCCCATGATCGATGACTGGGGCGATGACTTTATCCCGCCGGACCTGCGGGATACCATCATCTATCTCGACGAGCCGGATCACCACGAGCGCGAAGGTTACACGGTAAATCTGCAGACAGGGAACTACGAGAACGATCTTCAGGCTGCCCAGGATAGTGCATTCGACGCGAGTGGCGGTAGCCCTTTCAATACCGGCTCTGTCGCCACGGACATAAACGGAGAACGTCAAGACCTGGATCGCCGCGTTTTGGACGCATTGTTCACCGTCCTTACGAACCAACCAGCCCCATCGAGTGAGAGTACCTCAGCCAGAGAACGTACAAGAGGCACACGGCCCCTTGATCATCGAAAGATACCATTAATTTCTTACACAATCCGTGGCCAAACCACCCTGGTAAATCACTGGACGGACCCTCGTTACTTTACTGCCGCGTTTCCAACCTTGTTTCCGAGAGGCATTGGGGGCCATCTCGATGAACGAACTGTCCCGGTGTCAATTGGAGCGTTTGCCGAGTGGGCTTTGCGTCACCACAGTAGAAGGTGCGTGGCTTTCTTTGGGGGAAAAAAAAATTCTATAGATACTGATCTTTGTCTCTCCTTATTCCTGTAGGTTCGCACGCCACAAAACGTTCATGTACCTGCTGTATGATGTGATCCAACTCCGAAAGTCCTCGCTAGGGAATGCATTCCTCATTAAACGGCAGAACTGGCAGTCGGCAGTGGACGACATCGCCTCTCTAACAGTGACCCAACTCCAGAATGCAGCGAAGACCATCGAAAGCGGCCAGAAGATTGAGGATCCGGTCATCCGACGACTGCTGCGAAATATCGAGACTGTCGGGATGCAAGTCCCGGGATCCTTCGCCCAGAAACTAAGAATGCGTTCTGAAATTCGAGGACTGATTACACGGTACGGTATGCCAGCTTTCTGGATCACTATCAACCCCTCTGACCTACGTAATCCTTTGGTCCTGATCCTGGCTGGCGTAGAGTACTCTGGGAACAACTTGGCTGCGGCAAATGCCGCTATCCGTGAGGCCGCCGTTACCTCTAATCCGGTGGCAGTCGCTGAGTTTTTCCATCAAGTCTGTAAAGCCGTTCTGGACGGCCTTTTTGCTACTAATACTGACCGGATCGGTATCCTTGGCGATCTCTCGAACCATTTCGCTGTTGTCGAGACGAATGGTCGAGGCATGTTACATCTCCACGGATTAGCATGGGCGCGAGGAAACCTGGCTTTCACTACTTTGCGAGATCGGCTCCTCCAGGATAGCGACTTTGCGGCTCGCATGATTCGCTACTTAGAGTCAATCATTACCCAAGGCGTTGATGAGAGTATTTTGCAAGACCCTGAAGTGAACCTTCCCGGCATGCCACCGTCGGCCAAAGATTTTGAATCCGATGACGACTTCCATCTTCGACTATCG